TGCTTTCCCCGAACCCTACAATTTACAAGGGAAGACTACGGGAGATAAGTTTAGTCAAGGCTCCTCGGGACGACCTGAAAAATGTTCGGAACGTCCTCGAGCGTCTCCAGATATGATCGGGTTCTCTTCAAAAAATCTCACGCCTGACTCGACCCAAGTTAAATGGTACACTTGGCGCCGTTTCACGCTGTTTACTGTAAATAGTTCTTTCAAAACTGAAAGTCATCATTAATTATTGCAGCACAGTAATAGTTGGCGCACGAGGTACCGTGTTTTCAGAGGCTTGCCCCCCCCCCCCCCCCCCCGTGACATTTGACTAACAACAGTGCACCTTTTTTTGACTCAGTTATGCGATAGACTGGGAACCAAGCCACGGCCGTATCCGAGTGATGCTGGGGAAGAGCGGTAAAATTGTGTGCATTCTGAGAATTGATCCTTTATACTCCTGTGGGCAGGGTTATGTCCACCTCCTCGGTGTGGAGGGGAGCTCTTATCACAAGGAAATACAACATTTACAGGTAAAAGTGATACTTAAATTCAAATAAACACATTCGCAATAGCCTCCTCCAGGAGACTTTCACAAACACATCTAGAAACAAGTGCGAAGCACTAGAAACTGGAGGCAAGTTCGAGGCGTGAGGAGTTCAAAAGACTAAGAAAGGAAGTCAAGACTTTTTCAGAATACCCCACTACTTTGCGTGCTTATTGATTTGAAGGACTTTCCAGAACGAGGCAGCTTTCAAGAACTTAAATGGAGATAGCAATGCCAATTTGTTAGTTAATGTTTTACTGTGAGGATCAGCTTTGATCTTCTCAAATGGTAGGTTTTCCCTGAATAAAGGTTTGTAAAGGAAACTTTCTCGAAGTGTCCAGAGTGCTTGTTGAAATAAAAAAAAATAAGAGTAAATGTGCACCTTTTTTTAACTGCTTTTTCTTTTAATTCTTCATTTTTCTTTTTCTAATGCTTTTTCTAGAATGCTGGTTCTGGTAGGAATCTTACTCAAGTGATCAAAGACCTTCGAGAACTTTTTATCAACCAATGAGATAAACCCTTAGAGCTGAGTTCAACAGTTTCCAAGGTGATTGTTATACCAGACGGGAGTAACCAAGAACAACTTATGCTACAACCAAGAATACTTACGGCTGTATAAAACGTGTTTTTTAATACCTGTACCCGTGTTTTTTTAAGAAACTTAATCTTTATATTTACAGACTTTGTCAGATATAATTGGGTGACAATATTATATACAAACTTTTTTTTTAACCGGGGTACTTCTAATATTAATGGTATTTTCCTCACGTATAAAATAAATATTAAGTATTTTATATTATTTAAACATTTGGATTGAATAAGCTTGAAAAGAAAAAATACTTCCAACAAAACGTTTGACTAACTTGTCACGCAATCTACCAATATAGTTCGCGTGACAAGGCATACATCAATTCTTGATTTAAACATTTGTTTAACAGATTAGTCTCTGATGCATAAATGAGTTATACAATTCATTTAATGATGCATAACTCAACAGTAACGGTCAGAGCTTTTGAAGTTCAGTCTGGACAATTCTTGAAGACATCGTACAAACCATAACGAGTTATATATATTACTTTAGACGTAATGATCTGTATGGGCCATTTCAAAAATCAATCTAACACGATCAGCTTCGAAATAGCACTCAATACGCTCTTTACTTTCTTTAAAAGAAGAAAAGATAAAAATATAAGGAACGGTAAGATCAGTTTTTTTTTTTCGGATTTAAAAGTCAGCAAACGTAGCGCAATATATTGACCTTAACACAGAGAGAAATAACGTGCTTCTCTAAGAAAAAGCGTACGAGGTTTTCTCTTTTTTGTTAAAAAATATAGACACAAACTTTCCTGCTCTCTTCTTACCTCGTTCAGAAAGACGAGAATTTCAAATATTTGCGCAGCAGAATTGCTCTGCCTGAAAATTCGGCGGTCCGTACATTACTCAACAGGAGCTGCGTCAAGTTTTCAGTCAAAGGTTACAATTTCGTAATCTGGATTCCGAGTCAGTATTTTCTATCCTTATGTCTTCTTGGGTTGTTATTCCCTTCACGGGTTTCTCCTTATTAAACTAATATTTTATGTTATCCTTTCTTCTTCTAAGAGTTGTTTTTGTTGTTCCAAACAAAAACAAACAAACAAACATAATAGTAATATAATAGAAAAGCCTTGAATTGGTTTTGACGTTATTCCTGGAGATAACTGACTCGTCTGTCCATTGTGTGACGCATTGAAGTAAAACGTGCCGCACCTGACTGAGTCAACAACCGATCAAAACTAAACCTTTCGTGTTAAACCGAAAGTGCCAGGAGGTCCAAATAAACGAAGGAAGTGTCACCGGCACGGTAGATCCTACTACCAGGCATACACAAAAGTACCGCGAACCGTTTTTACGTCTACAAAAACATTTTCATTCTTCAAAAATACAATAATTTATCTTTATGCTGACGAAATTTAATTGCATTTACATAAAAAATACTCTGTATAATATCCACTGTTAACTTCTACCTGTTCGGAGCATGACAGGTAACACTATGATTGGCAGCATTGTTGCAGTAAGAGCACTGTTCAACCGACTCGCTTTATTTTTGCGCGAGTCGGAAACCGGTTTATCCGGCTTAACTGATAACGTGGGCACCCGAGACTGAGCTGCTTTCAGAGCAGAAAGCACCATGTCGGATGTGAATGACGGTGTTCCAGTATTAATAAGAGCTTCAATCTTTTGCGCCTCGCGATTACAGGTTTCCACCTAAGAAAACGGCAAAAAAGAAACGTCTAAGTATTTTACCCTGCGCAAGACCCTTGTTATCCAAAAAGTCTTCTCGCAGGAACTCGCATAAAAAAAATGGTAGTCAGTTCCTATATAGAAAATAGTGAATGGGCGCGAGTTGATAAAGAATTTTTCCTGCAGTTGACTACAAAAAGGTCTCCCTCCTTACAGCATCAGGATAGTCTCACGAAAAACCTGACGAAAAGTGATACGTAAATCTTGAAAGTGTTGCGGCTACCCTTGATAATGCCCCCTAACCGGCGAACTTAACAAAATGAAAAATTCCCCAATCTTACCTGAAGTTTAGTTGGCTTTGTCGTGATAGCCATTACTAAAACAACTACATCGCCTTCAATGCTGTGATATCCGAAGAGATCGCATTCAGTCTGAAGGGGAAATAAAACACGCTTATTAACGTCAATTTCCCCCTTCTGATATACGTTGGTTTACTTCTTCCGATTAGTTTTTGATCGTGTACTTTGATGATATGGGTGATGGACTTAATCTTTTAAATGGTTGCGGTTCACTACAACCAAACCTACATCCTTACCCCTGAAGCTGGGGGAAAAAAAGAAAATTTCCTTATTGCTCGAAAGCGACAAATAACGCCTAGAAAACTGTTCAAAATTTCCGCAACAAGTTACCCCCCTCCATACAGGTGTCGGCCTCATATAATACACCACGATATTCGTTCCTATGGGCCTGGTGGGTTAGGAATTTAATGCTCACCGTAGATATATGCCGCCGAAGGATCTGAAATACTTGTTCCAGTGTAACTGACTCGTGTATACCAAAGCCTTCTCGATTATTTGCCAACTGTTTCAGACTGTATAAAACTCGAACTTGAGCCGCTGCAAGGGAAAACATCATAATTTAACTGCAACGACGTCAAGTTATGAAAAGGTTGCCCATCAAACCAGAAATATGAGACCAGGAGAACTACATACGTCACGATACGAACAAGAAATGCGTGACATTCTTTTCCAAAATCACTACGCGCGTACAAAATTCGCTGTGACGAATTTGGCTGTTTTGTACAGCTCTACTAACCACAGTGTGGGCAGCAGGCCCCTGGCGGTATGATTCCTTTGCAGTGAGATGGTTTTATATCAGGACACGTGACATTCTCACAACGTGGTTCATCGTCATGCCCAGGTCCAGTCCCTACGGCTTTACACCGGCCTTGATAATCAACAATCACTCTTGCTGAGTGCGCTGCGCATGTGCTGGAGTATGTCTCTCCGTTAACACCGCACACGGCAGGGGAAGGGGGTTTACAGTCATCCTGAACGTGGAAAAAAACAACTGAATAAATCTCATGCAAAATGCTGTTTTTCAACTTAAGTCATATAACGAATAAGTCGATTATCTACCGCGGTAGGTAAAGTTAATCGGAATAGTATTTTCTTTGCAATACTGAATTCCTTGCATAAACAAATACGAAATAAAGCTATGAAATTGGCTCAACTGCAATGCTTCGTTCATTTGAATTAAAAAGCCTCCGAAGCGCACTGAGCATCGTACCTTGCAGAATCCTCTGTACGCCAGTGTCTTGCGGTTGAACTGCAACGAGCAGAGGTTTGGATGCTGATTGTTTTCCGAATCACAGACTGGGTCCAACTGGAGATCGCTGCAGTATTTTCCCTCTGATACTATAGACAAAAAAAGAATGTTCCTGTTTCAAAATCCAAGTTAAATCAAGTTTTTACTTAAACTGATGGAAAGAATACGATAATCTTGGACGAAATGTCGAGGAATTTCTTCCTTCCTTCTTGCAAAAAAGACAAGTGAGTTTATCCTCCCTTTCACAATATAACAAGGCACTTTGAATGTGTATCAACATTTCAGTGCAAAGGGATCGACAAGATAGCCGGCAGAGATGAGGATTCAGTTTTGGCAGAATTTATTTCACGGGTGCAAAGAGTAGTGCAGGCATCATGAACATTTTTTCTAAGACTAGAATGAATAAGAAATAAGATGTTCGCCTTTCAATAATAAAGAACTTAAGCAGAGAAGATTTTGAGACGTGGACGGCTATCGAAGAAGAAGAAGAAAACTAATTCTAGAGCACTTTGACGCCAATGTATCGATGGTGTAGTCGTCGTTTTAGCATTTTAAACCAAATTTTGCTGAACAAAAAAGGTGTGGTGTGCATCAGGAATGAGAACTTTTAATATCGGGCTGCCGTCTGCGTCTCAAAAACATTTGTCCCTAAGCTCCCCAATTTAACACTATTAATTGATGACTCACCGCAGTAATATTGAGGACAAGGATCACCTATGGACAAACAAGTCTTTCTTTCCACAATACACCTGAAAAGTTGATAATAACCAGAAGACATCAATCCTACGGTCACTGCCGAAAGAGCCTAACCTTTCCTTATATCTCAAACGTCAAAGAAAAAACGATAGCGAAAGAAATGAGGCACACAAAGACAACGCAAGTCTTCTCCTTTAGCAAGCATCAAATCATAACAACTCCGAACGAAAAGCGAGGTCTCGCACGATTTCTTCTCTCTACATAACGCCATCAGCTGATGATAAAAACCACTCACTTTTCATCAGCATCACAGGGGCTTGGTTCACACGGATCAATGGAAGCACAGTTGCCTTTCTTTAACCAAGTAGGAGGTAACCCAAGACACCTGTTAACAAAACCAAAGACAGTCGTTTGACGTGAATTACTCGGACACGAAATATCTTATGGAAGGGTAAAGTAACAAAATAATAATAATTCTTGTCACAAGGTCTGAAATTTTGAAACAGATATTTTCCCGCGCTTTTAACACCCAACACGCCCGTTGATTTTTTCGCGCGCTTTTTGCCGCAGGCGATACCTTTTCCCGCGCTTGCCACTGATTGCCACTTTTTTAGCGCAAGGCTGGTTTTCATTAGGGACGACTTTACAATACTGCAATAAAGAAATTTCGGACGAATTATTTATCTACTTACCGTGCCACACAAGGATTGGGGTAAGTCTTTGCATCACTTCCACACATTGGATCATAAACATTCTTACAACCGCATGGTAGAGTATTGATGGTGTCTGTATCTGTAGAAACGTTATCGGGTGTTCGATTGCGTTTGGGCCGACCTGATGTGAGTAAGAAAAAGCTTATCAGTTGGCAAAAAAGGACAAAATTGACGGTAACGGGCATAGCTGGATTAGGAAACACTGAATTAGCCCATCCGAATAACTAAGAGACAAAATCTATATGAATTGATGAGCGGGAACATTTTCACTCCAATAGGGGAAGTGGTAAACAGATCTGTTGTCGCCTTTTCCATAAAATAAAATGTCTTAATTGCTCATTGGATAAAAATACATAATCTAATGTTATTGGATAAAAAGAATTAAAGTTCAGCTAAATTACTCAAAAGAATCTAAAACTCTTCAAAAGCGAAACTTACTTGCATTGAACTCCGGTGATAGTACAGAGTCTGGACAATTTCTCTTTGTGCAAGTCAGTTCTCCCGAGAAACACGTACATAGGTTGCACTCATCAATAAACGTTTCGCCGTTATCTGCAAAAAATGAAAATACGATCAGTACATAAATCATTTCCCAGATTCAAGGTACATTTAGATTCCACTTAAGAGTAACAACCACGTGAAAAAGCACCGTAGAAATTTATATTCCATCATTAACACGCAAAGAAAGGTTTTGTCCGTTTTTTTCACAACAGTTGAACAAAGAGAAAGTCAGAGTTTCCAAGGGGGAAATCGGACCCCAGATCTTTGGATTTCGTGGTTCGATGCTTTACGACTGAGCCATAAGGAACTGTATGGTGAGTAACAGAGTTAGGCCATGACCAGGTTCATATTATGACATGAGTGTCGCGTGAATAAAATGGATTAAGAAATATAGCGAAGTTTTAGGTAAGACGTCGAATAGATGAAAAACGCAACTTAAGCACACACAGAAAGACTCACATGATAGGTCTGTGTCAAAACATCCATGGCATGAAAGAGAATTTGAACTTACTTATAACATTTTCTTTTAGCGTGCACTCCTTTGGCTCAATGCACTCAAGGTTTATACAATTGCTGAGTTTAGACGTTCCATCACAGTGGCACATCCTGAAGCAACCTTCTTTGCCAGACACAACAGGCACCTGTAAATGTCCATAAGTAGTTTTGCTCAGCATTTATGACAAAAAAAGAGTAGAAGTAATAGCATGTCTTCACTGGGACAAAGCAAACTGCATGGTAACACTTACCCTTGCATACTCTCCGACTCGCACAAGGAAACTTGATGCATCACCCAGGGGACAACCTAGTGTATACAAGATAATAGTCATGCAAAACTACTTGCTAAAACTACTTTGGGATTTCTAGGACAGAGTATTGTCAAATAGCTGGGGTCCTATCAGTATCTGGATAAAGACTACCTTAGATTCTTGCAGTCAGTTCAAAGGTGATAATTTGCATCCAAACACGAAGACTGCACATGTACTATACATGAGGCAAGCAAGAAATACCCTCGCTGAAATGATCGCACCAGTTGAATCTTATTCACCACAAAAACTCCTAATGTATTCAAATTACATAAACAAAGTATTACCTGGAACACAAGTGTGTGATTGACACCGGTCAAGAAGCGCTCCGTAGCAACTTCTGTTTATATCACAATCTTGATTCTCTTTGCATGGGTTTGGATTGCAAGGGTGAGTCACTGCATCGAAATAAAGTTTGAAAATAATAAGCACATCAACAGCAGCAACCCATGACTATTTTGTCAAACGTGTAACGTCTATCGTAATATGACAAAAAACCGTTACAATACAGGCAAAAAAAAAACCCAGCACTGAAATTCAAAACCTTACCTTCATCTGTAATATCAGTGTACTTGCTGGGTACTGAAAGAGAATGAATTGAATTAAGTGCCTGTCAAGAGAAAACGTTGACAATATTTATAGCATGCACTGGAAGGAAACAACTTGCTTGAAAACTTACTCTCTGATTTCCATCCAGAGGCACTTCTTGATAAAGTTTTCTCGCAACTTTCTTATTCATTTTAATTTTTCTATCACTATACGCCTTGTAATACTCTAATCAATTCTCGTTATTGCTGATCTCTCTTAGAACACACCCATCACAGGCTTACAAGGTAGAGATATAGAATAAATTTTAACTAAACAGAACAGGAAACTTTGAAAGAAAGAAATGCATACCGAGGTATTCTTGCAGGGAGATACAAGGTGCTTGTTTCTCAGGGGGAGAAAGTTCTTTACAAACTTCCTCTGGCAATTTTGATTGTAAAGTTGCACTGGAATTGCGACACTTTTCTAGAATCTGCACACAGTCAGGCCTTAAAAATGAAAATAAAGAATATTTTCCAGCTAACAAAATTAAATATTAGATAAAGCTAACTTCATAGATATATTATAGAATTTAATTGATTATGTCTCATTCCCAGTTGAGATAACTTATAACTTAAAACCACTCTTTCAGACGGAGCTGATGGCAAAGTAAGTCTCATTTGAGCGCAACAACAAAAAAACATGTAAAAAGGGAGTAAAAGAAAAACTTACTTGCAGATGGTACTTCTGTGAGATTTGACACTGCATGGCTTGATCTGAAGCACACAAGCAATGGCCTACAAAGGAAAACCAAAAACAACCTTTTCTTTAAAGGAAAATGTTATTTTGTTTTGAGCAAGAGACAACTGACTGAGCTCCTTCACCTTCCCAAGGTATTTGAACCTCAGACTGTCAGATTTTGTGGTCAGTTGCTCTAACATTGAGCAACAGTAGAGAAAATTTGGAGGTGGGCTAAGCCATACACCAGGCCTAACTTTGTAATCCTTAATTTGCAGTATGATCAAAAATATTTTTAATAATGCATGTATATGTAACAAAGAAGCTAAATTTCCAAAACAGGCCAGAGAGAGTTTAGTATTTCCATTGGTTCAAATTCATTCCATGGCTAGCTTTCTGGCTGCACACATGCATACCTTCCATGTTTCAGGAAGGCATTTCTTGATGTCCTTTATTGGAATCACAATATTGGGCATTTGAATGAAGCCTTTTTTCCATTCCTGCATGTGACTTTTAGCTCCATAGTCAGACTTGCTGTTACAGCTACGGAACAATTCAGTATGCCTGCCAAAACAAGAAAAATAATGATGTTCACCTTGTAACCAAACATTCATCACGAAAGTTCACTCCAATCACTAAATCACTTTGAGAGAGAGGGGTTAACTATGCTTGCAGGCCAGAAGCTCATCCTATGAGAGTATATCCTGGTTTCATCGTAAAGGAATAGCCATACAAATTGCTTTTTCCCCTTAAAGGGGGAGCCAGTCCAGGGCAGGGTTATTCTTCATCCCCACCCACCCTCCCCCCAATTCATTAGCTTTCAATGACTGCTTGCCCCAAGAACCCAGACATTTTGATTCAGAGTTCACCCGGTTTACAACCACTAGACTACAAAATTTCCCTTACTAGCACCTATGTGTCATGGGCTTTTTTTTACGCTGCAAAACATGTTTAAAACCATCACAAAGCCACAGTACTGAAAATAGTACAGGCTGTGTAACACACCTGTTGTTGAAGTTTGTACAAAAACTGAGACCTGAGCATCCCAGCTGACATGGCTCTGTCACTATGAAAAAAAATTGATAAGATTTTGTCAAAAAATAGACATGACTCTGGTGGACTCTTAGCTGAGTTTACTGGCCAACTAGTCATGCCTAAGGATCTAGAAAGGCACCATATCCCTTTATAAAGCCTGCAAATTGAGACAAACTAGACTATGGTTCTCTGTTGTATTCGACTAAGTAATTTCACTGTAACTTTGACTACACAGTCAATGGAAGGGTTACTTTAAGGAAGGGGAAAAAAGGGAAATACAAATCATGACTTAATAAACCAATTTTGCATTTCAGTACACTTTTTTAGGGATTAAGAGAAAGAAGAAAAAATACGCAACTAGCTTTCTCGCTAAAAGCATTCTTACCATCAGCTAGGCAGTTCATCATGTTGATCTGTTGAAATAAAAGGATATATGCATGTTCATGATTTTGAGAATAAAAAAGGTTAAGGGCACATTGTAGAATTCAAACAAAATTACAATTTGTACCTCTTTAGGATTGTAGGAACAGCTTTCATCAAATCTAGGCCAGTTCTGTGCCTTTCCCCACTTGGTAGTGTACATCTATTTCAAACACCAAAAACCACTAAAAAAATTACTATGAGCTTTTATGTAATTACAGAATATATATCTTATTAACCAAGCACAAGGGCCATACTGGGAGAATATCGGCCTAGGTCTTGACAGTACAGACCGAGCACAGCAAGGTCCATACAAAAAAAAACCGAGGGCTGACATTCTTCCAGTACGGTTCCGAGCAAGCTTGGTTAATAAGAGATTTATTATACGACTGAAGTTCAAAGGGACACAAGTGCAGTATCATTCGGGACCATTCGGGACAGTGTCCGGTCCAATTCTTAAAGAATATTGGAC